TATATATATATATATAATAAGTTTTACCATATTCTGGTGATCATACGTTTTTCTCAGTGTAGCATAATTATTTCGATTTTAATTAGAAAAACATGCCTCTCCCTTATAATTAAATAGTACCATGAAGCTTTCATTTGTTTAATACGAAGAAATACTTTTTAAAAATTTGCTTTTAATGAGCATTTAACCTACTACAAGAAGATAAGATAAATTAAATAAAAGAATTTATCTTTTTAAATTTTTAAAAAATATTTTTTAAAAATTTGCTTTTAATGAGCATTTATCCTACTACAAGAAGATAAGATAAATTGAATAAAAGAATTTATCTTTTTAAATTTTTGAAAATATTTTTTAAAAATTTTCTTTTAATAAGTACTTAACCTACTACAAGAAGATAAGATAAATTAAATACGATAATTTATCTTTTCAAAATCCTCCGGAATGTTTCCCAGACCGTCGCCAATAGCCCATTGTGCAGCCCTAGTGCGACGTAAATTAACAACAACAACATCTTTTTAAAAAATATTTTTCTAAAATTTTCTCTTGATAAGTATTTAACCTACTACAAGAAGATAAGATAAATTAAATACGAAAAGTAATCTTTTCAAATTTTCGTATTAATAATGCAATAATTGATACGATGATTTAAAAAAAAAAGATAAATTTAACACATCAGTCAACAATTATCAAAACGCATGCATTTTAATCAGAAATAGCTGTAGAAAAAATACTATAGCTTCACCCAAGTGAAATTTCTGAAAAACCCCTTCTGGTATAAAATTCGAAGGAATTCCTGTCCTCACGTTTTGGTATTTTCCCGTTTTCCGATAAAGCTAAAGAAACGCAGGCGGTCTTCTTTCTTCAGTTGAAACAATTGCCATTTAGTGTGTTTACTACGTTTAAGGCAAACGGTAGCTCGTTAACGGTGGAGAAAAGAAAATCGCGTAAAGCAATAAGCGTAGAACCGCCATGCGCACAGGGGAAAGTCTTTTCAATCGATGGCGACTTGCGAAGGTTAAAAGATAACGCCAAATTTTAGCCAATCTTACTTTTAAGAGAAAATATTTTTCTAGTATTCAAAAAATCGTGTGAAAACACTTTTGTAGCAGTTGTGATGGGTATTTTTGAAAGAGGAAGGGTGGTTTCCAATAAAATAATGTTCTTTTTTTTCTTCTAACAATGCATGTCAGATATTAGAATCGGATAAATTGCTTATGTTTCTTCGCTGCCCTGATCATCAAATTTCTTCACGTATATAACAAGATTATAGTCGAAGAATGAGATTTTGTTGACCCGTGAGTTGAGGAATCAAACTGTTTTGATTGGTTAAGAGAAGGCTTGAGAAAATGCTTTCCGGAAAAATGTTATCGATTTTTTAAGAGGTGAAAAAGCTCCATAAAAGGACAATAAATGGAGCGTAACTTGTTTGAAGAATTCACATGTATTCCACATGGGAATTCTTTATGTATACATTCCGCATGACTTGTGCATTTTAATATAAGTCGAATTTCATGCAATTATTTACTAATATAACTGTTCATAACCTAGTAAAGATAGAAATTATGGTCGTCCATATAATCTATTTATTTATTAATTTTTAAGTGTGAATATTATATTAATAAATGAGAGTTCACCTGTTTAAATAACTAATATGAATTCCTTAAAATATTAAGGGAATTTTACTCAATCATTTGTTTATGTAACTGTTGATAATTACATGATGCATAAAGATCAAGGTAAATCAAAGAGATATTATGTACTTATTTATCAATTTTATAAGATGTGCAAAGACTCAATAAAATTGAAATACATGAAGTGTCACATGTTTAAGACTTCACTTGTAAACAATTAATAGAATTAAAAGAATATTAATAGAAAATATTAATACAAGAGCAGAATATTTATAGAATTTCAAGCAATCATTTGTCCATACAAGTGTTATTAATTTAGTGTTATATTAAGAAAAATTATTGGAGTATAGATTACCAAAATTAACTAGTTTATAAAGGTTTCATAGGGTCAATATAAAAACAAATAATGGATTGTCACTAAAAATTTCAATGTATACGAAATTCACAAAAATTTCAAAGAATACAATATTTATACGATTTGTTGATAATTTTAATGGAAAAATTTAAAAATATATTTTTGGAGATAGCAATTATTAAATGGTTTCATTTGCCAAAAATGTATATGTACCTTAGTATGTTGTGAGCAAATTTGAGATTATTTATTTTACAATTTTCTTTTGAGAGTCAACCTATCGTAAATTTATTCTGTACCTTGTTCATTTAACTCTTTATATTTTTAGTACATAAATATATCAGTTATTGACATTAAAAAAAATATGAAATATTTGTATATTGAAAACATATTCAAGATAGTCATGAATAAATTTGAATTAAAATTTTTATCTAATTATTTTCTTTTCTTTTTCAAGTTGATTTATATTTTAGCTCAAGGATATTAAGTTTAAGTTTTAGCAAATTAATTAGGGAATAAATGAAATTTCTTGCATTAGTTTGTTTTTTCAATTATAAACGGTTAGTAACTATATAAAAAAATCATCGCCAAAAATATAAGAATCTTTCAACCATTCGATCCGGCACACTGGCATCTTAGAAAGTAATCCATAAAATTTGATGTAAATATGTATTTTCTTATTTTATTTACTCATTTTCAGGTAGACTCATATTTCGTTTAAAAATTTTACAAGTTCTGTAAAAAATTCCAGATCAAATTACGGTATAAAATATCGGCACTTCCGTTGCATCATCTACAAAATACATTTTAACGTAAAACCCATTTTTACCGTTGAAATAGTAAACCTCAATTTTCAAAGTAATATTTATTTAATTATAATGATTCAGTGATTTTACGGTTATTGTTACTGTGAAAATTACGGTACATCAGATTTTTTTCCACAAATATATGCATATG